TCCCTGTGAAAACATTGGATTGTAAATATACAGAAGCATTCAGGGCCATAGTACATCCAAGCATCAAAACTTAAATGTTCACTTTTCTGTCGAAATAAGCTGAAAGATGTGACTGAGTATGTGCAAATTGATGGAAGCAAACTGTTTTGAGAACAAAAAATTACAATTTGGATAGAATTAGTTGCATTTGTTGTGGTTTGAAAAGTTGACTTACAGTGAAAAATGAGGAGGAGCATTTACTGCAGTAAAGGACTCACCCCATTGGTTTAGGTTCAGAACTTGTGAAGATGTAATCCTAGTGGCTACGGAAAGATGGACTGTTCCATTATTGGAATAGTTAATTAAGCAATCAATAATTGATTACATGTTAAATTTTATCAAACAATCAATGTTGTTTAAACTCCTCACAGAAGTTCTTCAGTGGCAGCTTAAGCTTTGTTTTCTGTAAATGTATAAATAATCCTATACTCACTGGCCTGTTGTGATCTAAAAGACTAATGCAACAAAAGATAATCAATGGCATAAGTCTTTAATTTGATCATTTATCACAAAAATTACAGATATTTCTTATAATGATAAAAGGGAGAAACATTTTTTGCAACTTTGTGCTGTTTAATACCCGTACTGTACATACAAAGTCATGAAATAATATTCTCCACATAATATATTGTTATGCATGATATTTTATTCCAAACTCCATTTTGGTGTTTGGTGGAGAAGAGCCAGAGCCACAATCGTGATCCTTCTCAATCATAAATTTGCATTCACTGATGTATTACTGCATAATTGTGGACGGGAGGGAGACACGTAAGACCAATCATATCACTGAAAGGCAACCTACTCACTAGCTGTCGTTTGATTTATAACATGTCAACATCAATAAGTAAGAGTATTTCGACAGGTGCACTCAATTAATTCTTGTTATGTAAGAAAACCCAGTCATTAAAAAGAAAATGACCCATTCTGTCGCTCTGACTGTGTACGCCACAACCATTCATTAAAGCCCTCAATCTCCTTGAGCTGAAAAGTACAATCAAATTCTCATATTAATACATGAAAATGTCAAAGCTATATGTTAAAATGTCAAACCTATTAATGGCACTGCCAGTCTGCGAAGGTAAAATGTCAGCAGCGAAACAATTGTAGCAGGAAATAAACAGGAAAACAGGCTTTGAACGCTCAGGTGAGGCGCATTCAGAACATGCAAATGATATCAAGAATGAAAAAGATGAACAAATATGTGTCTTTTCTTAATCAAAGCTGAACTGCTGATAGTTTTTGGTAAAGTTCTACATGTGAAAAAGATTTAAAAGGTTGAATAACTCCCATCAACAGTACGTTTATTGCTCAAAGGAAGATTTCTAATTGATTAAGAGATCATTTATTCGTCACAATGGAGAAATGTCAGTGTTGCATCACCGATTACAGAACAGTACTAAAGAGGAGAACACAGCACAATATAAATCAAAATTATCTCTATACTAAATAAAATAATATAAAATCTATAACTTTAGCACAAAAAAGAAGCAAGTATCAAATCTGTAGCTTAACGCAATAAGGAAGCAGATCTAAACTCTCTGACTTTGGCTTAATAAAGAAATAACTAGCACAAATAACTATTAGACTATAACTTGGTCTGTAAAATGCGCTATCTAATTAAACATTAAGTAAGTAAGTAATCTTTATTTATATACTGCCTTTCACAGATCAGAGTCACAAAGCGGTTTACAATTGTTATTTTTTATTACTTACTTACTTAGTTATTAAACAGAAGGGTCTGAAATGTAGTGTTTATGGGAGAAACGCATACCACAGCAACAACACAAATCATCTTGAAATCATCTTTTAAATCTATATGACTACATATTTTAATCAATCCATAAATAAATCAGTCAATAAAAAAAAAATTATATTAAGTATACAACAAATATATCGTTTGAATGCTTTGTTGTTGTGGTAGGACATGGCGCGGCAGCAGTTTGTGGAGAGACCAGAGAAGCTTCAATCACAGCCACAAAGTCACCTTCCTCTGATTACAGTTGAAGAGCCAGGTAAAGGGCCGCTTCATAAAACCTGTGAATTAACTCATCAGGACATCTCAAATAAACTCCAGTCCAGGCTACAAGTGGTTCTTCTACAGTTGGATTGTTATAATTGTTGAAAGATGGTGCTTAATATGATCAATAACACTATAGCCGACTGTTTCAGATGACATGGTTTTTGTAATCAATATATGATCAGCAAGGACATGAATACTTAGACAGGGGCTGAATAAGGCCAAATCACAATAATAATATAATCTATTAAGTTTGAATCTGGGAAATTGTAAGAATTCCATCCAAAGTCCATAAGGGTTTGGACAATAATAATTCAATCTAATGTGAAAGGGTTCTTCATTCTACAAAATAAGCTTATGAAATGTAACCGTAACAAAGGGCTCAGAGCATTGGGGTTCGGACATGGTGGTCGTGGGTTCGATCCCACCATGACCAATGCCACCTGCTCCCACTGATGTCTGCTGTCGTTGTGTCCCTGGGCAAGACACTTAACCCTACTTTGCCTGAAGTCCCTGCTGAAAGATCAAGGCTGTATCTGCATTGAAGGAACAGCCATCTTCCTGTGGACCCACCACCTGCAGGAGGATCAGAGGGACTTGTGCTTTGTGATTTGGGTGGCAGCTCTGATGGCCACCCCCCTGACCCAGAAATGGACAATAAAGGGATGAAAATGAATGAATGAATGAATGAATGTTTGACCCAACAGAAAGAGTCTTTTAAAGTATTAGGACAGCTGTCTTCAAAATACAAAATAACTTTAAAAAGCAGAAAACTTTGTACATTCTCTGTGACAAGTGCGTAAGAGCAGGCTCCGAACACAGCTTTGCCATTTTGAAAAGCATGCTCTGTTCTGTAACTGTAATTAAAATACACTGGTGTATTTTAATTACCAAATAATACAACCCTCAACAGCAGAATAAGCAGTAGAGGGTTTGACGTGCTTGTTTGAGGCTAGTCTATGGGCCTACATTGTTACTTCCCATATTTAGAAACCAGTTTACATTTGTACATCTCAAATAGCCTATTTCCTCGTGTGATCCATGGGCCGAATACATCTCATTTTGGTGAAATATGATGACTGTTAAAACGGCCCCAGCTGTATAAAGTAAGAAAGACAGTGTTAAAGCAGGGAGGTGACACATTATGAGAGAGCGTCTGCCCCTTCGGCTGATAGACCCGACCGGGCTATTCATTTCACCCAGACCCAGCCTGTGTGTCACTTATATTACTGCGCAGCCTGCCCTGACTGACGGCCGCGAGTGGGGGGAGAAAAATTGCACAAAAATACGGCTCCAGATGCCCCGGGAGAGAACAAGGCAGTGCGATTTGATGGATGGGTGTATTTGACCCATGAGGGAGTTGGCTGAGCTGTTGCCCCTCTGCCCAGCACCGCATGGCCCCTGTCAGACTGAGGGGCACCATGGTTGTCTCTGTCACCGCGTCAACACAGGCCATCTCCATACTTAACAGATGGAAAAGGGTTTATGTGCTGTGAATGTAGAGACATCATTTCACATCACGCAAATATGTGTTAGGATTCAATCTGAGAACTTATATGAGTTAAACGTTTTAGGCTACAGTAATGTTATGATAGAAGAGGCTGTGTATTTGTTTTGTTCTGGTGCACGCAGATGTAATTATTGACTATCAGGATAATAGGAAAACATTCTTTTGATTAATGGAAGTTGTTTAAATACATTGAATCCTTTATTCATACATAAGTTTTTTTTTTTAGAACACATTTTTAATAGCTGTTTTGTTTACAGATATTGGTCCATACACATTTCAAGCTGGATGGTCTCAACATACAATTTTTAAGGTTTTTCATTCACAAATTGACAATATCTGGGTTAGACACATGACATCACTCACATAAACATCACTAGAATGGATTCTGTAAAATATACTGCTTTTGGGGATCCATGACTGAAATGTTGGAGATATACTGGCCAAACACATTAAGTTATCAATGTCTATGTGTGTATACAAATAAAAGTCAACTCATGTGAAGCTAAAGTGTAAGTAAGTAAGTAAGTTTTTATTTATATACCGCCTTTTCACTGCAGATCTGAGTCTCAAAGCGGTTTACAATTGTTAATTTTGGGCATTTGTCTCTCACTCCACACAGAGATGGGAGCGGGGTCGCCAGTACAGGACGCGCATGCTAGAACTATTGGACATATTTTTAGTGGTAGGGGAAACCGGAGTACCCGGAGGAAACCTACGCAGACACGGGGAGAACAAGCAAACTCCACTCAGAAAGGCCCTGGTCCGACCGGGATTCGAACCCAGGACCTTCTTGCTGAGAGGCCAGAGTGCTATCCACTCAGCCACCGTGCCGGAGCATGTGGTCGGAGCATGTGTGTAACTGAACTGAGGCCCGGTGTTTTGTTCACATTATGTCCCAGAATGGAAATTAAAACACAATACCAATGAAATACTAACTTCTATAACCTAAAAAAACATGCTGTGCTCATAATATTTTAGCAAGTAACTGCTTATGTCGGGAAAAAAACTATCAAACTCAAGGAAATGATCATGAATAATTAATGTTACAACAAATGACTGCGCCAAGAGGAGAAAGTTCATTTGTTCAATTGTATTTCTGTAATGTTCTCTGGGCAATATCCGCGCACACATTTTATTCGTATTATGATATAGAAACGTGAACATGTTTATCTTTACCTCCAGCTGCTGCTTTTCGTTTGTTTATTTTTATTTTTTGCAACGTGTAGTTGAGTGACGTCATGACGCTGACGTTTGCGGAAGCATCGGCTCGGACTCTCGCTCATCCTCAAAACAGAAGAGATGTGTTGCCTTTAGTTTCTCAAATAAACTACAGTAAACGGCGGATATTCATCAGACCGTGTCCCCCGGATGTAAAGGGTGTTTTATTCTGCATGTCTGTCGAGTGAGAACCCGGAAAACACCGGAGCTGCAAAGATGGAGGTAAATGCACAGGATTAAGGCTAGCTTTAGCCACAGTTATGCTCAAGTATCACAACATAAAGACTGGTTTATCTTAAAGAATCTTCTAACTGCGTGGATTATGATTTGAATGTCCCAAGTATGTGTAGTAAATACAAAGACAATCCGGAGAAATGTATGAAACAATACATCAGCTTCTGCGTACATACCATATACATACCATAAATGTACACACTGACACCTGACACCATGGATGGAATGTAAACATACTTTTGCATTGTGTTGATTTTATTTGCAGCAGGATTCAAGTGGCACTGGGCAGGAAGCTGTGGCTGCTTCACCTGCAGGTGCAAATAAGTCAAAGGTACTTTGGCCCAGTACTTTTACTTTGATTTCGTAATGCTACATTTTTTTATTGCAAGTATCTAAAGTTGTGCTTGTGTTCTTGCAGCTGGATACATTGTCCAAAGATGACTTGATAAAGTTTGCCAAGAAGCAGATGGCTGCAATGCAAAAAATAAAGAGCAAATGTGCAGGTATCAAGCAATAAAAATATATGTATATAAATGCATGTATATGTAATCATGTTGCTTTCTGTAGATGTATTTTATATTCAAATCTCATGTTCTTATATTCAGATTTAGAGAAAGAAGTTGAGACTCTAAAAAACCAACCAAATCCCAGTAAGAACACCTCTGAAGATGCTATATTAATACAGGTTGGTTTTCTCAATAATGAAAGACAACACTATTATTGAATATTGGTTTTGCTTATTTGAAATACATTTTCTGAATAATGAACAACAGGAACTGACCGAGCGAATGGATGGTTTACTACTGGAGAAGGCAGAAACCCAGCAAAGCCTTTCAAAGTGTCGTAAAGATTTAGAACGAACCACACAGCAAAGAAATGTAAGTAATACTATCTTTTTTACAACCATAGTTCAGATGTTTAACTGCAATATTTTGAAATCTTTTGATCAGGAAGACATGGGTGCACTTCAAGCAGAGCTAGATCGTGTTATTGAGGACCATAAAAAGAAAATAAAGATTCTTGAAATGTCTATTGAAGAATCAAGCCATAAACACAAAGAAGAAGTTGATCATTTCCAGAACTTACTGAAAGAACGTGAAGCGATTGACAGAGAGAGAGAAAGTGAACGTGAGAGGGAGCGTGAAGCACAGGAGAGCAGCGATGAAGTCCGCCAGAGTTTGGAAGCAGAGTTAAAAAGTATCAGAGCGGAACTTGAGGCGGTGCAGAAGCAGAAGTCTGTGGAGATGAGCGAGCGGCAGGAGAGTGTCCAGACAGAGCTGACGAAGGCCCAGCAGGAGGTGGAGAACCTGAGGGAGGAGCTGAGCCAGAGGAGCATGCAGCACGAGGAGGAGATCAGGGCTTTGGAGGAGGACTTCGAGATTGAACGGGACAGACTCCTGCTGCTCCATGAAGAACTCACAGAGCAGCTCGCACTCAAAGGTATCGCCTAAACAAACGAGAAAGTGTCAATAGATTCTATCACACACCAGAATGTATTGTTTGCATCATACAAGTATATGTGTAAATTTGTGTATTTATTTAACCAAGTCAAATTCCAGGTCACTTTTTTCCTCCTTATATCTCTAAAATGAATGTGTTTTTAGTTTTGAGTTGCGCAGTCCTTAAAGATTGATTGACGGCCTCTGACAGGCAATTACACAATAATACTGAATCCACACAAACTGGTAAAACTAGTTTAGAGCAGTCACTGGTTTATATTTGTATTATTACTAACTAAGCACATCTGTAAAATTAATTGGGAACATTGAAATGACTGCTTATTGTTTGCATTTTGGGGTAAATGGCTTTGTTCTTTCTCTAAAAAGTAAATGCCATTACTCAATGTAATAAAGAACATTTTGGATGAGATACATTTAAGCTCTTAATAATAGAAGTTCAACAATCCAACTTGAGAGAATATGTAAATTTCGACTAACATTTATGGACATTTATGCACATTTATTAACATTCATTGGTCATCCCGCTGCCCCATGGACCACTGGCTCCTATGTGTTTGTTATGATTGTATTTCCTGTCTTTGATTCTCTGATTTCTTGTTGGCGAATTGACAACTTTGGAAAGTCCTCCCGAGACGACTGCTGTAAAAAATAATTTTAATTTATGTGATTTAAATGAATGAAATGTACTTGCATCTTAAATACTTTTCAAACACATCTTTTTCTGTCATTTCCAGACAGCTATTTGCAGGATGTTCAAGAGGAAGACGAAGAACCTGCTCGTGGTTCAGGAATCGCCAAAATGTTGGAGTTGTCTCGCCGCAGTCAGAGCTCTCACGTGGACGGTGAGGAGGAGATGGAAGCTGGAAAATTTAGAGAAGCTTTGGAAGACCTTCAAGCCCAGAACACAATGTTACAGGACGAACTCACTCTGCTCATGAATCTCAAAGAAGAACTGGAGGCCGAGCTGGAGAGAGCCAGGGAGGAGTTTCAGATCGAGAGAGAGGAGTTGGAGTTCAAAATTGATGAGTTACAAATGAGCAAAGAGGGGAACGCTGGCGAATCACCCACGACGTCAGCTCCTAGTGACCCACAATCCAGCAAAATTAAAATTGATGGGAAACCTTTAGAAGACACCAAAGAGGCAACATTAGGCCCCACTACTCCTGATGAAAACCCAACCTTATCAAAACTTGAAGAGCAGCAAACGATTAACCAGGATTTGAAAGCTCAATGTGAAGCGCTGACCAAAGAAAGAGACTCCATTTTGGCTGAGTATCATCTCACACGAAGCCGTTTGCATGATTTAGAAGCAGAACTTGGAGAGAAAACTGAAGATTCCATTGCCATGAAGGAACAAGGGGTTACAATACAAGAGCTGCAGGATAAGATTCAACAGCTGAGTGAAGAGAGGTGCTGGCAAAAAGTTGGGGAAGTTACAGAGGAGAAAAATGGCCTAATGGAAAACCTCCAAGAGCTGAAACAAAAAATTCAAGGGTTCCCAAATGAGAGGAGGACATTAGAAGCAACTATTGAAGAGCAAACAGCATTAGCAACAGAGCTGAGACATTCCCTGGAAGAAGTAACCAGACAGAAAGATGACATTATTTCCCAATTTACTGAACAGGAAAATAAAAACACAGACTTGAAAGCAAAAGTAAATCATTTGAATGCACAGTGCGATGAATTGCAGTCTCAGCTTCAACTTCGAGAGCAGGAAATGCAAACATACCAGTGTGAAAAAGCCAAAGAAACTGAGACGTTGCTCGAGGAAAAACAAGAAATGCTAGAGAGTGAAAAACTAGAAGGTGACGTAAAGGAGGAGAGGGTGGAATTGCAGAAGATTCTTCAACAACTTCAGGCTGAAAAAAGTGATCTTGTTCAGAAACTTGAGGAGGTGTCATCACAGCTTGTCCAAATGGAGCAGGAGAATAAACTGTCTGGATCCAAAATGGCAGCTTTAGAATCTGATTTGGAACAGGAGACTTCTGAAAAGAGCCTACTTGAGGCTAAACTAGTTACGCTAACTGAAGAAGCAGCGAAAGCAGGAGAAAATATTGCGGCATTAGAGCAGAACGCGTCGGAGGTGATGAGAAATTCCACAGAGGAAATCCGCGAATTGAGAACGCGTATTCAAGATCTGGAGATGGAGAGAGACAAGCTGAAAAAAAGTCTTGAAGACGCTAGCGAAGAGGTGAGGCTAACAGTGCTAAACGAGGTACAAAGTCATATCACGGAATTGGAGCGGGAGAAAACGGAGCTAGAACGTAATATTGAGGAAGTTATGAAGGATGTAGAGGGTCTGCAGAGAGACCTAGAGGACATGAAGGCCAGAAATGAAAAGATGAATGAAGAAAATCAAGTGTTGCAAGAGAAAGTTTCCCTGTTAACTGAAGAAAAAGAGGGACTTCAGGTAGAAGGTCAGATGGACTACAAAGACCAGCTCACGGAGAAGGACGCTCTTGTATCTCAACTGAGGGATGAGATCACAGCGCTGCAGGTCAGTAAAACATTCAAAATACAAAATTACATTACAAAAGTTCCATGTTTTTACCTGTGAAAGTCAATATTCCCCAACAAGGACTATTTTTATACTTTTTGTGCCCATTACCTTAGTGAATACTAGTGAATAGTTGGCAATTGAAGGAATGAAATGCATAAAAGTTTGCATAACTGGAAATCGTAGTCTCATTTGTGTATTGTTTGTTTCTCGGTAAAGTCTGCGTCCCTGGCTACCTCTTCCGAAAAATCCGTCAGTGGCCTTACGGAGAGAATAGGTAACCATTTTGACAGTGCTTCTTGCAGATTGAATTTTAATGTTTAATTTAGTGATAGGTTTCATACTTTTCCAGTATATAAATGTACTTTCTCTTAAGTGTTATTAATAGTAAGTATTTTTTTCAATTTTGATATAGCCCTGTTGGAAAAGCAACAAAAAGACAAGGACGAGAAGATGAACAAAATCAAAGCAGTGGCCGTCAAAGCAAAGAAGGAGCTGGATTTAAGCAAGAAAGAGGTCAGAAAAGCTTTAACTTTAGCTGTTTCTGTCATACAGTACATTTGGAAAACAATGCACAATATGGTATCAGTATTTATCAATTGTTTTTTTTGTTTTTTCTAGGTTACAGCGCTAAAAGGAGAAATTGACAGTTTAAAAGCTGAGCGGGAGAAAGTCAACAGTTCTATGAAAGATATTATTCACGGTGCTGAAGGCTACAAGGTATGATCTAATTGCAATGCTTAATGTAGCAGTTTTACCATATACCAGTTAAATGTGAGCATAATTGTAAAACAGGTTATATTTTTGCTTTTCATCAGTTCTCACAAAGTCTAATAAATAAAAACACATTTTCATAACTATTTTTCTTTTAATATCCTCACCACAGAATAAATAAATGGTGCTTTTCTGCTGCTAATTGGCAGGCGGACTCCCTAAACCGTCCCCAGGCAGCTCTCTGCTTTACAACTGTGTCCGCGTTATGGGGAAAACCGGTCTGTTGTGTCTAATGACGAAATGAAATGTAAACGAGACTATACCTGGAAGCCATACTGTTTACTTTCACACAAACTTCAGATGATAATTGGATTCAAGGATGCCGGAAATGATACTTTTTAACATGAGTGTTTGTATCGTTTTACAGTGATATATTGGCAAATGGAGAAATGCTTGGATGGATCTTTTCTCATTTTAGGCTACTGACCCAACACCATATTAAAACTACTAAAGATAACTAAATAAAAACAAATACATTTTATTCTTAAGAGGGTTAGGGTTTTTACTTTTGTGTGTTGCTTGTGTATGCAAGGATTTCACCAATCAACCTAAAGACATGCAAATGGTCCTGACTCTTGACCAATCCACAGCATTTGTATATAGGTCCCTTGGTGCTGCTCTGTCACCCTGGTTATCTTACATGTCAAATCCATGGAATAAATGTCACTACATATATAGGCACAAACATTTTTAATCTTGCATCTATGCGTCCTTCTGTTAAGACTATATCCTACAATCTATTTGTATTAATTTGCTTTTGTTTACTTACAGAACATGCAGATCGATTACGACAGGCAGACGGAGCAGTTGGATAAAGAACGAGAGAGAACGGAGGCGGCCGAGAAGCAGATCGCTGAGCTGACGAAACGACTCAGCACTGCCGTCGTACAGGTGTGACTAATACACACTTAATCACACACGCATACGCACACACACACATACGCACACACACATACACACACACACACACACACACACACACACCACTCTCTCCCGACACTAAATTAACGCCACTTTGTCCAGCAGTAGATCTCCCCAATTGCTGTAACCCAGCTCTCACCTGATTTACGCTTGTTTACCATCACTGAGCTGGCTATGCACATACAGAAAAGAAGTAGATAATAAATGTATGTTTTTAGTTTTTCAAATGTACCATAAGAGATTGAAGATACTTCAAGAAGAATCGATAAACCAGTATTATTGTTAGATTGTATTAAATTATAAAGATTCCTTTGGCAAAGTCTTGACTCATGAGAAGTTTAACTGTGAGATGTGTGGGGCCGTCCTCCCACTAAACATTCCTCATTCAGTGAAAATGTCTAAATGCCGGGTATGTGCATCATTAAAAAATAATGTATTCAAAACGATTAAGATTAAGAGATCCTATATTCATCCCACAGTGGGAAAATTTCAGTGCATCACAAGTTATAGGACAGTAGGAAAGCGCAACACACGGCACAAGTTAAGTGAACAATAGCTGTACTGATTAAAATATAACAAAAAGTCAATTTGCATTTGTTTATTCTGCAAAAATAAGCCTGTTTATACTGTGTAGCTCCTTCTTTCCCACTAATTGCCACTCGGGCATGATTGGGCAAACCTTAAAGACAAAGCATAATACAGAAAAGTATACATCTTGTGCATTTGAGTCTTGTCTTTTTTTCCGCTGAGAGAAGCAGAGGCAGGTAAATGGAGCGAAGCGTGGCCCCCATCTGCCGCCTGCGCCATCACAACAATCGTGGTTTTCTTAGACACGAGTTTATTTAATGTGTGTCTTTGGTCTCTGAGGGATTGAGCAGAGCAAAAATCCAGTCAGGGATCTCAAATCGCATCTGGACAACTTTGTTTACCGATCATAGCGTTGGAGTTGGGCTGACAGGCAGAGGGGATGGGGAGAGAGGAAGCCCACAGCGCCTGTAGATGTCAGACACGCTTCAGTGACTTCCTACTGTGTCACATGTGTTTGTGGGAATTTGATTTCTCATTTCAAAGAGCCGAATAAAAAGACGAGTTGCATGCATATTTATTTATTAGCTTTCAGGTCATGCCTTTGAACAATTAATGAACTACAGCAAACTGGCATTTGTCTTGTGCAGATGCCCTTCAAGATACTGATGAGCATAATGAGGCAGTCTGAGTGATGTTTTTGGAAAACCTGTTTTCTGCTTTTTAACCTCTCCCCAGATAGTGCTCATTTCTCAAATATCTAACTTCTGTGTGTCTTTTACAGACTGAGACTCTGACAAGTGAAAAAGCAGACCTCTTGGCTGCAATGGAGACCATAAGAAACGCAATGAAACAGATGGAAGCTCAGAACCAGGATCTTCAGAAGCACATGGCCGCCCTGGAGAGAGATGTGGTGGCTGAGAGGACTATGAAGGAACACAAAATAAAGGTGATTTATTCCCTTCCCAGTGTGAGCAACATGTCTCACTGAACATTGTCACTGTTTTGTTAAAAACATTGAGAGGAAAACAGGCGAGGTCCATACTAGGGCTGTAATTGAGTAAGCCCCCTGAATCAATTAGTCAAATAAAATGTGTGATGCATTGTAATAGCTCTCAATATATTAAATATTTATCTGACTATTCTTTCTCCAAACCTTCTCCTTTCTAATCCTATTAATGCCATGTATTGACTTAAATGTAGGGCTCAGTTGGCAGAATTGAATGTGTCTGTGTGATCAGGGACAATGCACAAAAAATAAAATGTTTTAGCAAAAATGCTAGTTCCTACCTGCTCAGGTCATTAAAACCCTGCAGTCCTCGTTTCCACAGCAGAAGCATAAGAGGACATTTATTTTTATAAGCATTTATATGGTCTATTTGGAACTGTCAAATCCAGATGTGACTTTTGGCCATCACTACATGTTGGTTTGTGTCCGATCCTCTAGGATTTGTCATCGGCCTCAAAGGAGGTGGAGGATCTGACGGCTCAGCTCCACCGACAGCAGCAGCAGTCTCAGCAGATCACTCAGGAGCTGGAGCAACTGCGGAAGGTACAGTAGCCCCCCTGTCCTGGTTACAAAGGGCTCTTAGTGCGAGGGTCTCAGGGGGCCAGTCCAGTCAAGCGGCTCGACAGGTGATGGCCGCCTGAAGGCAGCAGCAGCGTTCTCTAAAGAGCAGGTTTTCGCCGATGGGGGCAGAGTTCCATTAGCTCGCACTAGAGTAGGTCAGAGTGGAGCCTATGGGAGGCTAGGGTCATGTGACAAGTGTCTGGAAGTGGGTTAAGAAAAGAGATATTTTACAGAAATCCAATAGATCTTTGTTTCTGACTTAGTATAGATGCAGTTCTGATCTGTAGATTAATCTTAAATTACAAACCCAAGGTTTAGACATTAGTTGATGGAGAATATACTGTTACAGAGTTCTATAGAGATTAAACAATAATATTGAATCTTTTGACACAATAGCAAGATAATCCATTATTATTGCGTCAATGCTTTCCAGACTTAAGTATTGTTTCCCTGTCTGTAGGAGGCGCAGCAGAGCTCTCTTATGGATATGGAGATGGCGGATTATGAACGACTCGTCAAAGAACTCAACGGAAAACTAGTCGAAGGAGAAGAATGTGTTTCTGAGTTAAAGTCTCAAATAAACACTCTTGTCCAGAATGATGAGGCACTCAAACAGGAAATTGGTATGCTCCTGTTATATTTGGTTTACCGTGTTGTGTTATGTTGTGCAATTATGATTATTATGATTTTTTGTTTAGTTTTATCACCGTTTTGGTCAGTTTGGTTCTGTACAACTCATTTGAATGGGATCATAATAAACAAAATCCTATTCAAACCTTCTACTTCTGAATATGAATCTCATTAATGCCACAGTAAAAAGTACTCACGTGCATATATCTGCCTGTCCCCAGAGTCGCTGAAGTCCCAGCTGGATCAGGGGGAGGAGAAGACCACCAAGATGAAACAGCTGCTGGTAAAGACCAAGAAAGACTTTGCTGATGCCAAGAAACAGGTCTGTGTGACTGCTATATGTTTGTGTATGTCTCGTTATTACTGTAATTAAAGCAATATTATGTAACTGTGATGGAGAGGGAGGCCATGGAGAAATTATTTATCACATGAGCTGTGTGTAAACCCTACAGGAGTCCTCTTTAATGATGACACAAGCGTCACTGCGAGGAGAGCTCGAGGCAAACCAGCAGCAACTGGAAAATTCAAAGGTAGGACACAATCAGAGGATTTCAGACATCGAGACAGCTGCTATACACGCTAATTTATATATTGTGTTAGTATCGATATGTGACTAATCATTATTTATTATTTATTTATTTTTCTGGTTGATAGAAACTTTTAAAATGCATAAAGTCTTGGTTTTATATCTAGTAAATTGTTATTGATGCGGTTTGACTGATACATTTATTTTATTTTTTTAATTTGAATTTAGGACAGTACATATTAAAGCTGCATTACCTCACTTTATTTTTGGAATTCATTATGAAATTTCAGTCCATAACCATGCAGTGCATTGGGATATACGTCCTTTTGAAGAAAAACCAATCACAGAGGACCACTGGCCCCCACTTTCTTGAGAAAATCTACAGGTCTCTCTTTAGCACAGACAGCTGAGGTAAACAAGCGGCGGAGGCTAACCCGAAACTTCCCGTGTCTTCGTCACCGGTTACTGCTTACACAGCAAAACAGCCATCCAAAAGAAAGTCTCGTTCTCCGCGCTTCCCGGTTCTATCATTCTATGGTCACGCCATCCATGTTCAAATGTGCGATCCATATTGTGAGACGTGAGCTCCGTATATAATTAGCATGTGAGCACAGGCTGAGTGGGAGGGGGGAGTGGGGGGCGATAGCTTCGGGAGTGCGGGGAGGGTAGCAGAAAGAGCGAGGCCAGCGCTCACATTCAAAAATTTCACAATGTGAGTTAGTGCCGCTTTAATCAATGTGTCTGCAAACAGCGTCAACATAAATATGCTGGAATTAGCACAGTAGCTAAATTGCATCCATTGTCCTAAGGCAGGTAAGAAACACACAAACACACAGTTAGGTAAAAGTACAAACAATAAGTCTACAAGCACAACATTAAATTCTGGCTTGACTAAGGAATTTGTCAAGATGCAGCCAAACGTATAAAACGAGCCTATATCACAGCACATACAATCCATATCAGTAGTCAATAATCAAAGTAAATGATTGCACTAGTTGCCATTGCCAGCAAGTGAAAAATATAAATCGTGTTTGAATGTTTCGAAGTCTTCATGAGTTGAATTTTTGCCAGTTTGAAAAGGCATTTATGGGTGACTTGTGTTCAAAGTATTGTGGTACATCTTTACAGAAAAAAACCATTGAATGTATACGTCTTTCTTGATTATAATTAGTTCCTTTTGGTCGTGTTGTTTCAGATTGAAGTGTGCCAGCTGACAGCCGAGCGCCATCGATTACAGGAGCAGCTGAGGTCTGCACTGGAGCAGCACCAGCGCACCAGCTCGACCCTGCAGCAGCGAGTCAGCAGCCTGCAGACGGAGAGGGACAACGCAAAGGTGCATTCCAGTTCAATTGGAGCGCTCTCTTCTTTTGGACCCGATCACTTATTCTCATTGTATTATCTGTGGCATGTGTGCGTTTGCATTTCAGGCTGAACTTGGGGCGATTGCGAGCGAGTTTGAAAGTTACAAAGTGAGAGTCCATAATGTTCTGAAGCAACAGAAGAGCAAAACTACCTCCCAGAGCGAAGGAGATTCAAGCAAAACAGAACGGTAACACTTTTACATCATAATTAAAGGGTGGTGAATAAGTTGTAATGTCCTGGTAAGAAATAAAATGTGTCCTTATTGAACAAATCGACATACCACAGCCACTTTATAGTTATTGTCACTTTCTAGGGTTTAATGATTCCATAATTGTTGATTGAGGGCTTTGGTTTCACACATTTCCATTCTAATTAAGCCTTTTAAAGACCAAATCAAACTTTTTAGTCTGTGTACAGCAATGATTTTGAGGCTCAAACCCCTGAGATTTTAGCCATAAACCAGGTCAACCATAATTTCAACAATTTATAGATTAGGTTATGATTTATAAATAGAGGACAAAGTAAAAAAAAATTGTCTTACAAAAGAAAAGATGATTTGCCCCAGATTTAGTTACAGGCTAGTTTCATTCTGCAGTCCCTGGGCATGTGAGTAACTTAAAGCTTGGGTACCTAACATTTTTTTCATGATTAACACATGTTCTTTCCATCAGAAAAACAAATCAGACCGCAGCTGTCTTCATCGTAGTACAACATATTGCATATTTGTAACGAATCGCCCTGTCCGTCTCTATTTGATGCTTTGACCTCGCTTCCATCTCTTTGGGGAGTGAGAAACAAATGCCCACAGCAACTGTAAAGCGTTTTGTGACTCTGGTCTGTGAAAGCCGCTATTTAAATAAAGATAACAGTGGCTCAGTTGGTAGAGCATTGGCCTTTGAGCTCGAAGGTCGTGGGTTCGAGTCCACCACGAGACCTTCTCCACCGACTCCCACTGGTGTCTGCTGTTGTCGTGTCCTTGGGCAAGACACTTAACCACTTTGCTAATAAGGAGCGCGGAAGTGATGTTTAAATTGACATAACACCAAAGAAGGTGTAAATAATCCCTTAATTTTCCTAATTCAAGCACAGTCCTCATATGTTTGTAGAATCAGCATCGTAATCATGCATTGCTTTTCTTCCTGGCAGGGAGCAGTTGTCGTCTCAGGTGGAGCTGCTTCGGTCGCGGTTGTGCGAGAGCCAGCAGAGTCTGCAGAGCGTCACGTCTGAGCTGCAGCAGCTTCAGAGCGAACACGACACGCTGCTCGAGAGGCACAACAAAATCCTCCAGGAAACCATCAGCAAAGAGGCCGAGCTCCGCGAGAGGTCAGGCCCCCGCTGGGAAGACATGATTACAGAGAGAGAGCTTCCACTGACAGATCAGCAAGGGACGATTATGATTACAGTTTTAGAAAGATTGTTTGTGGTTCTGTAGGGTATGACTAAAGAATATACTTTTCAATGTACTCTCTCAACACAGAAATATTCCTTTTTCTCAATCTGTAAGTAGTAGTTGCTGTCACACACCTGTTTACAAGGTAGACATGCTTTATGGTTCAATGAAGACTTGTTTTTTGCTTTTTCAACACACTTTCTGGAGATACAAATAGAATGTTCAGAGATTATCTGGTTTTGGGTATGTATATTTACAGGAATGGTACAGTTCTGTAAATTGCAAATAGGTAGTGAGTACTTTTTTGAGGACCTAAATCTCGTATTACTGAGAGAGGACATGGACATACAAACCGTACGCACATTTTTTTGATCCAGTGACACGCTCCATCCCAACTTGTAATCTTGTGTCTTAAAAAAAAAAAAAGTTCTAAAATCCATCTAACTTGTACTCCACTTTCAAATAGTTTAGTTCTATCGTTAATGTTCACATACATAATTTTTGTGGTCTCTGTGGAATATTAATGATTACTTCCTGCTTTTGAAGAGTGCACACGTTTGCCTTTCTGCTCTGCGCTTGCTTTGCTTTTTAATCTCCTGTAATCTTTTTATTTTAATTTTTTTTCCACAAAACACGGATTACTCCTTTTGCAGACTTCAGTCTTGTGGAATTTATCAACTTTAGCTATGTCTGGACGAAAGAAACTAAGGAAGCTCTGTGATGGCTGCTGTGCTCTGGAATATCAACTAAAATCTCTCCAAAATCGGATCATTATCTTGGGAACAGAAATGGGACTTTCTCAAACTTGAGCGCATTTTGACTTTTGAAGCAAAATAATATTATTTGGAAAAAGATACAAGAAATGTCTCCCTTGGAATGACGATATAAAGCAACAGTTTTTGAAATTAGACTATTATTTATGAAACAAAAAAGTGACGCTCAAACGTCCTCTCGGTGATTTGTGTCTTTAATCATGTGCTATATTCCCCTGTTGATCCAGGCTGCTCACGCTTCAGTCTGAAAGTGTGAGTGTGCGGTCCGAGGCGTCCCAGGTGCAGGCGGAGCTGACGTCTCAAATCGAGTCCCAGCGTCAGACGTACAGGGAGCAGCTGAGAAAGCTCCAGGACGAACACCGAGCCACCGTGGAGACTCTACAGGGACAACTGAGCCGCGTGGAGGAGCAGCTCTTCAGCCTGCAGAGCCAGACCAGTGAGTCTTTGGCAAATGTGGCAAAAATCAAATACTAATTGATCCTAAAACTAGTGGTTAAGGTTACAAAATGAGAGTCCTTAAAAAGATGTGAATCATTTGAACCAGTTTGCAACAACATGACAAATTTTGGCGACAGTGGCTCAGTTGGTAGAGCATTGGACTTTGAGCCGCAAGACTTTCTCCATCGACTCCCACTGATGTCTGCTGTTGTTGTGTCCTTGGCAAGACACTTAACCTCTGGGAACACCTGATGCCACAGTGGGGCGGCTGCAGCTGTAAAGTGCCAAACTGTTGTGAATGGTTGGTGGTGGTGGGAGGGGCCGATGGCACATACTGGTTGCCTCACTTCTGTCAGTGTGCCCCAGGGCAGCTGTGGCTACAGCAGTAGGTTATCACCACCGTGTATGAAGTGAATGAATAATGACACGTGAAGCGTCTTTGAGTGTCCAAAAAAGTGCTATATAAAACCAATGCATTATTATTATTATTATTATTATTAAATTGAACCACTTTTGAATCCTTTTAGAATTATGATGATGTCCCTCAAAGAATTACGATTCATTATTATTCATTATGAAATCCATCCATCCATCCATCTTCTTCCCCTTAATCCATTTAAGTACAATAAAAACATGTACTTGAATAGAGTTGGGAGAGTCACTCAGGGAGCATTTTGACTTTTTTGTGGATGTAAAACCACTTCACTTAAGTCAGATTACATTTTTTACTACAGCCATAGTGCCGCGAAAAATTACCACTGAAATGCAACCTTTTTCATGAAGTGCTAAACATATGGTGTGTTGCAACAATATTTTTAAAGCAACAGTTCATCTTTTTTTGGTGGAGGAAAATCACCTGTCTGATTCCATGGAAATTAAACAACAATAAGACACTGTTGAAATAATAAAAACATTTGTCATGCCATGATGTGAAGCTAAATTAAAAATATTTCCAAGAAAACAAACAGAATTGTGGTGATACAAGCCAACCTCACAGTTAGAATAAAAATTTGTTTTCTCATTTTCAAAGCCATAAAAACACGTTAAAAGACATGCTGTTATACTCCTGTAATCCTTTTTCTAAATAGTTTCGTACTGTGTCTTTAAATACACTTTCTATTTAAGGCGTTTATGTGATGTGGACAGGGACGCTGGAGGTTTGTGTGTTTACCAGTAAAGAATTTCTGGAAGCTCATTCTTCACCTCCCACCCAGCTGCCCTCCGGATCCAGCACCAAATTAACTGGACTCATTGATGGAGAACGTGTGTGTGTGTGTGTGTGTGTGTGCTCGCCTACATACAGTTGTGTGTTCAGTCAGTCCAGGTGTTGCCTCTGCTCCCAGCGCTCCTTCCCGCCTCTAAATGTGGCAGTCGGCTCCTCGCTGCATCTGGAGAGCGTCGTCATTAGTAACTCACACATGCTCACAGCGCTAATCCCAAATATGAGGCCAAATATCTGCCTTTTTAAAACTCAGTTCATTTGCTGTTAAAACGCAACTGGGATCTATCAAATATAATTAACCTGCCCAGATGGGTAATCTTAATAATGTGGACCTATATATTTTTAATCTGCAGTAATGGAGAACAACTTCATCTATGTTTAATTTGTATGACTAAAATCTTTCACATTTCAGATAGATGTTTGGAACTCTGCCCATTACTCAATGACACCAGGATGAAAGCACTGCCAAAACAGATCAGCCCGAAACCTAAAATTATGGTTGAAAATGCCAGGCCAGAGTTGGTAAAGAGATATGTCCATTTGGTTGCAGGCTCATCAATCATACTTGGCTTTGTTGTCCACCCACACTCAAACACTTTGGTCCAGCTAATGGCAGTCAAATGCATCAGTCTGGTGCCCCCTCTTGTCACACTGTAGTAGGACAGTGTTCAGAAAATGTTGAATGAGAATTTAGCATTTACCTAACCTTATTTTGGAAACAAAGAAGCCATTTCTGAAGATTGACAGGCAATGTGATTTAGTCATTGTTTAATTGGTTTGAGAACAAAATACAATGATAGTTTGATAATTTTTGGATGGTTTCAGTGCCCTGGTTACTTTTAATCCACTCAACTCCTGGAAAATGTTATCCCGGAAAAATGCCACATCCTGTTATCTAAGGTTTTAAACATTTTGGGCTGAGAGTCTACGTCTTAGTGTCCATGGTCTTGGTTTTGTCTTTAAGAGCTTTGACCAATAACTTGTTTTTGTTCTAAAAGACAGAGAAGTCAGCTGTTTTAATGTACCTACATAAACTTGTGAATAGATGCGAGATAGACATGTTTATTATTGTCATTTTTGTAAGATTAAGATTTAAGTAAGGCATGATCGGCTGCACACAAGCGAATACCCTCTTACCTAAAATAAATTTGACTGATCCAGATTCAGAGCCTTTAGTGGGAACAATCTTTCCCCATTTATCATACCCATTTCTCCAGAATAGAAACTCTTACATTTCTCCACCCTGTAGATTAAAAATGTATGTATTTTGAGGGATGATAAATATACTGTATTGAAATCCAATTTAGAAAAGCCTCTGCTGTTTTTACTCATGCGCAAAGCACGTGTTAATCCGTTTCCCCTTTTCTCTACAGGTACTTTGTCAATGCAGTCCAGTCGTAAATCTGTGTCCGACTCTCAGCGTAAAAACACAGACTACATCCAGGCTGGACTGAGCTTCATGGCCCCGGGTGACCTCCAGTCGATGGCCCGCGAGGAGGGGGAGGGCATGGAGACGACAGAGACAGAGAGCCCGTCTCCAGCCTCCACGCCCCTACCATCTCTGGAGCAGCTCCTGTCATCTCCCGATCCAAAACAAGGTATGATTAAAGGCTTAGGATCTGCCATTACACAACAATAAAACAATGTGAATCATAGACACTAATTTACTTCTGACTTTCTCTGCAGAGCCTTTTGTCTGGACCGTGGAGCCAACCAAAGAAGAGTTGAGTCAGAAGCTCAGCACAGTCACCCGCAGCTTGGAGCACATAAACAGCCTTCTCCATGAAACTGAGGCCACTAATGCAGTTCTTATGGAGCAGATTACGGTACGGTTTTTTCTCTCATTTAAAACTGGATACATGTGTAATGACATTAGTCCAGGTGGGAGATTGCTTGGTTGCTCAGTAGTGAAAAATTTGTATAATTATAATAATTGTACATTTCTCCTGTGTGAGAGTGAGATCAATAATATCTTAATCTGCAATGAATTCAAAAAATCTTCCATGCAAACTAACCAGTGTCCTCATGAAAGTTGCATTCTGTATGTACACAAAATGCTATATTAGATAATTTAATATGCAATGATCATTTCTAAAACACATCGGCAGTATTCTTACACATTTATTATTACAAGAATTCAAAGAAAAGTTATTTACATTTTTCAATTCAATGTATCTTTGTATGTATAGCCCTAAATCACAAAAGCAGTCTATTGGACACAATTGTTAATTGGCAACAACAGAGTGAAACCAATAGAAATGCAATAAGAAACATAAAACCCATTGGTCCACAAATTTGCTTAATTAGAAAAATGTAAGTTTCTTTTGACTTTATTCATTTACACATAATGCTTTCCCTGACCAGCCAAAACACAGTGTCACTATATTAATTCACAACACACGTTCATAATGCTCTTGATTGGCCGCATGTATTAAGTTAATTAATCAGTCATAGACCATATTCATTTTAGATTTTTATTTGGGTTACATTCAGAGAAAATGGTAAGTACGCAGCTCATATGACTCTATAAGCACCAACAGTGGTATCAAACAGTTTTGCATTGGTGACAGTCCCCTCTTTGTCCATGAGAAAGTAGAATTTATGCCCTTTAACCCTCAGTGGGATGAACGTAGCCGACTCCTGTCTATGAGCGAAGCAGGCGACTTGAGACAGAGGCACTGTCATTTTGCGACCCCTTCCTGGCCCCAGGGGCGATTGTGTGCTCACTGTCACCATGTTTCCACCTCGATGTAAGATTACTTGACTCACAGATCGTCGGCAAAACAGAAATCCTAACCCAACTATTCCCGCTCCTATGGCCAAACATCCAGTCGTGAATCCATATCTCCAAGCGCTTGAGCCTAGGTTCATTTCGAAGCTCCACCATCCTGCAAGTCCTGTCGTTTTGTTGGAAATCTCTTTATTTTTCGTCTTGTCTGTGGATCCACTTGTGTCTCTCAGCCCCGTGTATGCGAACTGGGCCAAATATGTCCAAAACAGAAACTGGCCCCCGCAGAAAATGGACAGGATGCGGAAGAAGCGTGTCCTGTCGTGGGTAAACAAGGTGACATCTCTGGACAGCTGAGCAGCGGAACACAAACCAGCTTCCTGCCGCTTAAAAACATCAACAAATCTGGAATAAAGCCAACTGTGTGTGTTTTTGATAACTGAAGTTTGCGTGCCACTGTTTTGAGAGACGTTTCGGTGCGAGCGTCCCAGTCGGAGGTGCGCGGCGGAGGAGAAGCACCGCGAGGAGAAGCAGACAAGACGCTCCAAACCCATCTTAAATGTGAAGAATACGTGGATTAAACATGAACGGGTTGTCTACAGGAAACACGCTATAAGTTTGTGAAGGGTTGTTCCGTGAAATTGCGATTATAAAACTGATACCGCTCCTGCAGCAAAGGGCAGCGCCATGTTGTTGTGACGTAGCTCCAATCGACGGAAAGAGCATTAGGACAAATTTAAAACCACGATAATCATGGAAATACAGTTTCTGTTGTCAACCAAAGTACAGTTTTAATTTGTAATGATATTAGTGTATTATGTGTATTATTACCACGTCTTCAGTTGGAAAAATATTATTCATGTTAGATGTACTAAAGTGAGATACTGTTTTTATTACTAACTATTGTAATAAAAGGCACATTTTTAACACAAACAGATCTGCTGAATAGTCGAAGGAACAAAGAATCTCTTGAAAACCTCCCAAGTATTTAATTAAATGAGAATGTTCTATGGTACAGAAATGCAATTTTAAAATAAACAAATAAATATCAAAATGTACCTCCAGTTGTATAATATAGTTGTTAGTTTTTAATAGCAATTCCATCATAAGATAAAGATGAGATAATATAAACTTTATTGATCTCACAATTGTAAAAATGTACATGCCACCATATCATTCTAAGTACTCTCATGATAGTATACTCCCCGTCCACATGAATATGAATTTAGGTGGGAATTACAAAGAAATATGTTATTCTAAGTTGTGGGAGGAGACCGGCGATTACTGTTAGTTCATCATTACATTGCAACAGACCTGCATTAAATTACTATAGGCCTGCATTAAAATCATTGAATTAAAACTTTTTCACTTGTTCTTCAGTTGTTGAAGAGTGAGATCCGTCGTCTGGAGCGGAACCAGGAGCGTGAGAAGAGTGTGGCCAATCTGGAGTATCTAAAGAACGTCCTGCTGCAGTTCATCTTCCTCCGATCAGGAAGTGAGCGACAGGCGCTGCTCCCTGTAATCCACACCATGCTCCAGCTGAGCCCAGAGGAGAAGAGCAAGCTGGCTGCTATTGCACAAGGTGAGATCCATGATGGTTGCAGATTTAATACTTGTTATAAAATAAGACTATGGAAAATTTGCTAAAAGTCAAATGAATTGCTCTATAGCTTTGCCACCTCTGTAGATATTATCATTTACTGTGTGTGTGCATAAATATATGTACTCCTGGAATTCTTTTGTTCTTCTTTCTGTATTTACATTTTGACCACAACAATAATTATTTGTTGCAGCCCTACATTGTTATTGTTAAGTTTGTCTACACTCAATGTTTTCTCTCTGTACTTGAATTATGTGTCATGTCTCATGTGATCATTCTTATTACCACCTGTGACCGCTTGACTTGATCCGATGGGGATTGAAACGCATTGACATGTCCCTATTCAGAAATTCAGATTGCCTTGAATCTTTTCCGCTTGGTTCTCTACATTATTTTTCTCATGAATCCTCAAAGAGCGCCTGGTCACTCACATTTGTCCTACATTTTTTGATCCCCATATGCACTCGCTCCTCTTGTCTGTGCTATCCTCAGTTGACTCACCACAGTGGATAAAAAATACCATGAATAATTGTTTTTTGGAGCTGAGTTTAGATTCATGTTCTAACTAGACCAGCCCTGGGTCATTTAGACCGTTTTATGCATGTCATAATCAAAGATATTTTTATTGCCATTGTAGTTAAAAAGTCACAAAGAAGGAACATGCTTCGGCTCAAATTACAAGGTAAAAAAAGAGTACGGTATGCATTAATAAAAAAATTGACAAAAAGTTAATGGTGTTGCAATTTAACGGTTTGCATAAACTCATGATAATATGTGTTTCCCCCCCATTTTATCGCTTTGCTTAGCTTGCTATGCTTGTCGATGTTAAATCCTGATCAAGTGTTATTTCTCTGTCAGGTTAAGGTTAGGGTGAGGATTAGTACTTCCTTTAGTTAAGGTTCGAGCTTTGGGAAAGGCACACTTATCTGATCTAGGAAACCCACTTCTGCCATGGTTCAGGCTACAATTGTTGCAGTGTCATCATAAGCCCATTTAGGCTGGACACTTTTGTGCATGACACAAAATAAACTCAAACTCTAACTTTTGCATGTGTTGTATTGATTATAGCATGATCACAGGTAAGTAAGACTTCAACAATCCAAGATTTATTGAGAATAATTGCATGCATTTTTTGTTTCTTTCAGGTGAAGAAGAGGGATCTGCCTCAAGAGGCTCGGGCTGGTCATCGTATATTCACAGCTGGTCTGGTATTAGATGAGTTCAGACATACAAACCAAACACTGGAAGCACAAACATTATCGTTAAAAACATTTCCATTTTTGAGTTGTAATCTGCAAAAGGTGAAGCCATTGCTTTAGTTTCCCCAATCTGTGTTGGACCAATGAATGTAACAGTCATGAAGGATGTAGTTGGCTTAAAAGAACCAATAAATTAATAATACGTGTTGATTTTAAACTGTGATAATATCAAATGGGTGAAAGCACCATAAAAGGCATTTTTATTTTGAAGGGAACGTTGTTTAAGTGTATAAGGTTTCACATACAAGTCATATAAGTCTGACGCTGTCTACAATTGTCTTTTGCTAACATTCAGGAGGCCTAAACCGTTTAATCATCAGTGCAAATATTCTAATTGTCTAAGTTAATTCTGCTTTGTGTTCAATTCTTTGATTCTACCTGTCACCTTGGGATTTTGTTTTGTGTTTGAGGTTGAATCTCTGTTTTACTTTACGTTATTTGTTGTACCAGTGATTGGTTTTGAAATATTAATTAATTTACTCTCTTGATTGCTCCAAGGTTCTCTTGTTTCTATGGGGCAGCTTTTCTAAATCATTTTCATATTGTGAATGTAATCTTCATGTTCTTTTGGGGCTTGTTTTACTGTAATTCAAATCCTATCTGTAAAAAAATAAAAACGTTCTCAATTATAGTAGTAATACCAAGCTTTTTATTTGTTTTCCATGTATGTTATTGTGACAAGTATGTCATCTGTCCATTGCGGTGGTCTCATCTGACTATTGTGCATAGGAGTCTGGACCTATGGCATATAATTTCGCAATAAAAGGACAAAATGCAGATCCAGGTCATTATGCCATTCATAGTCCATGAACTCTTCAAAAAATATTCCATCGGCCACGAACTGATTTTAAAAGTTGACTCACCAGTACATACACTTTCCACAATTGAAGTCACATCAACATAGTCTCAATGATGCTGAATAGTATACATTGTCAATATGACCGTGTTTTGATCAACAATACGTTAGTGTATGTAGCAAATTAGAACCATTCTTAACTCGTGGAAACATTATTTTGTCTGTTTGACCGGAAGCGTTGATTTCCGCTGATTAGCTTGACGCCGAGGCGAGGCCGCCGCTTGCACTCTGCGCCATTCCACTCCTCTCCACATCTGGATAAGAGCGACTCAACACGGGGAAAACACAGGAGCAAAAGACTGCAGGGATGCTGGCTAATCAACGAAATGACAAACGGGTAAGTAGAACACACCCGCAGGCGTTGTATGTGATGTTTGGGTTTTTCTGTCTAAAGTCATGAAGTTGTTGGAAGCGGGTTCTTGGAGCAAAAATCTGCTCATGGGAAAATCTGAGGAAAAATTTTGATCAAGCGTTGCAAGCACGTATTTGAGCTTTCTGATAACTTTTCTAGATTGACTTCTTGTAATTTTAATTTTAGCGCTAAATCACCCAGGCATCCATATCAACGTGTTTTAAATAGTAATCTTACCTCATCTGTCTTTCTGTGAACTTGGCAGTCCAGCGCCTCTCACGGTCTTCCCTCTAGTGTGCTCTTGAGGTAACTGCCTATTGTTGCAAGTTACTGTAAAAGTCATTCATATTATTGAAATAATCTGTGTGGTTGTGGAAAACATTCGTATTCCATGAACATTTTTACCCTAATGTATTTGATTTTGATTAATGAATACAACTTAAACAGCATATAGCTGCTTCTGCCATTTTTAAGCCCTGTCATTATTATCCAATGTTTTTTTCCATTTCATCATGTACAGGAAAAAACACAAAAGCATGTGTGTGTCTGTACTCCTGACTCAGAGTACACTCAGAAGCTTCAGTCACACTACACACATGCCGTAAGACTACTCAAGGCCATACAAGAGGTGTTTTCGTATTTATAGCCAATTTGCACCATATGTGAAAAACCTCAAATGAATACCCCAAGTTCCCTGTGAACTTCAAACGCTGTAATTTCACTTCAGTCACTTTCAATCACCACAGATTATAATCTCTCCTTTACGTTTCGTCATAACAATAGTCATAGTTTAGATCCCAAACAAAGGTTAAGATATTAATGATTATAGTGCCGATCCACCCTGTGGTCAGGTATGTCCACGCAAACTGTGCCACTGTTTCCCTGACCACTTCCTGACCGTCCGTTCCCTGGAGATCTCTATTTCCGCAGCTTTTTCCTCCTCTTGCTGAATGCTGCTGTGTGCACGGCGGTGTTAAATATAGCCACACATGAATTGGCTTTTTATTCTGGGGCACTTCTGATTACAGATCACAATATTTGACAAAGATTCTATGATAGTGTTGTGTATTTATTTGGAGATTCTACTGTGTTATTTTGTATGGCAGAAGAGCAGACTGATTTATGTTTTATTCATACTAAAGCTTTGTCTATCTCAAGTATATTGGCAATAAAACATGCCCATTTTAAGTATCATGGGTTTATTTGGTGCTATGGGTTCATTCCTTGTCTAGTTGTCACATGATTCTGGATTTGGTCTCAATATTAATCTGTTCCCATCTGAAAAATGTCGTAATAGCTATACACTTTGTGTGATTTTTTTTCTTACATTATTATTATTATTTGATTGAATGAATGAATGAAGCCTTTATTACGGACTCAGGGTCCAACATTAAAACACTTAATTATTATTATTATGATTTTTTTCCGTGGCGGCTCGGTGCAGAGAGGACTGGGCAGCAGTCGAAGGCGGAGACCTCGGCGACCCAGTCCGCACACCCAACATCTGGCTCTTGGGACGTGGAACGTCACCTCACTGGGGGGGAAGGAGCCCGAGCTTGTGGGGGAGGTCGAGAGGTACCGACTAGAGATAGTCGGCCTCACCTCCACGCACAGCTTGGGCTCTGGAACCCAACTCCTTGAGAGGGGTTGGACGCTCCACTTTTCTGGTGTATCTCGCGGGGAGAGGCGGCGAGCTGGGGTGGCCATACTCATTGCCCCCCATCTCAGCCGCCACGTGTTGGAGTTCTCCCCGGTGAATGAGAGGGTCGCGTCCCTCCGCCTTCGGGTTGGGGATAAGTCTCTCACTGTTGTGACGGCCTACGGGCCTAACAGCAGTGCAGAGTACTCTGCCTTCTTGGAGTCCTTGGGAGGGGTACTGGACAGTGCACCGCCCGGGGACTCCGTCATTCTCCTGGGGGACTTTAACGCCCATGTGGGAAGCGCCAGTGACACTTGGAGAGGGGTGATCGGGAAGAACGGCCCCCCTGATCTGAACCCGAGTGGTGTTCAGTTGTTGGACTTCTGTGCTAGTCACGGTTTGTCCATCACGAACACCATGTTTGAGCACAAGGGTGTCCACCAGTGCACGTGGCACCAGGACACCCTAGGCCGGAGGTCGATGATCGACTTTGTAGTCGTATCATCTGACCTTCGACCGCGTGTCTCGGACACTCGGGTAAAGAGAGGGGCGGAGCTGTCAACCGATCACCACCTGGTCATGAGTTGGATCCGCTGGCAGGGGAGGAAGCCGGTCAGACCTGGCAGACCCAAGCGTATAGTGAGGGTTTGCTGGGAACGTCTCGCTGAGCCCCCTGTCAGACGGACTTTCAACTCACACCTCCGGGAGAGCTTCTCCCAGGTCCCGGCGGAGGAGGGGGATATTGAGTCTGAGTGGACCATGTTCTCTTCCTCTATCGCCGATGCGGCGGCTCGTAGCTGTGGTCGCAAGGTCTCTGGTGCTGGTCCCGGCGGCAACCCCCGAACCCGGTGGTGGACACCGGCAGTAAGGGATGCCGTCAGGCTGAAGAAGGAGTCCTATCGAGCCATGATGGTTCGGGGGACTCCTGAGGCAGCTGTCCAGTACCGGCAGGCCAAGCGGCCCGGGCTGTTGCAGAGGCAAAAACCCGGGACTGGGAGGAGTTTGGAGAGTCCATGGAGCATGACTATCGGTCGGCCTCGAAGAGATTCTGGCAAACTGTCCGGGGCCTCAGGAGGGGGAAGCAGTTCTTTGCCAACACCGTGTACGGTGCGGGGGGTGAGCTGCTGACCTCGACCGGGGATATTGTCGGACGGTGGAAGGAATACTTCGAGGTTCTCCTCAATCCCCCCGTCACGTCCTCCGCTCCGGAGGCAGAGGCTGAGGATGTTGGGGCGGATACTTCTGTCACCCTGGCAGAGGTCACCAAGGTGGTTGGCAGCCTCCTTGGTGGCAAGGCGCCGGGAGTGGATGAGATCCGTCCTGACTATCTAAAGTCTCTGGATGTTGTAGGACTGTCTTGGCTGACACGTCTCTGCAACATCGCGTGGCGATCGGGGGCGGTGCCAATGGAGTGGCAGACCGGGGTGGTGGTTCCTCTCTACAAGAAGGGGGACCGGAGGGTGTGTTCCAATTATCGTGGGATCACACTCCTCAGCCTCCCTGGTAAGGTTTACTCCAAGGTACTGGAGAGGAGGTTACGGCCGATGGTCGAATCTCGGATTCAGGAGGAGCAGTGTGGTTTTCGTCCCGGCCGTGGAACACTGGACCAGCTCTACACTCTCCATCGGATACTCGAGGGTTCATGGGAGTTCGCCCAACCTGTCCACATGTGCTTTGTGGATTTGGAGAAGGCGTTCGACCGTGTTCCCCGGGGTGTCCTTTGGGGGGTCCTCCGTGAGTACGGGGTCCGGGGTCCTCTGCTGAGGGCCGTCCGGTCCCTGTATGACCGGAGCCAGAGCTGCGTGCGCATTGCCGGCAGTAAGTCAGACCTGTTCCCTGTGCACGTTGGCCTCCGCCAGGGCTGCCCTTTGTCACCGGTTCTGTTCACTGTATTCATTGACAGAATTTCTAGGCGCAGCCAAGGGTCGGAGGGGGTCCGGTTCGGGGACCACAGGATTTCATCTCTGCTGTTTGCAGACAATGTTGTCCTGTTGGCTCCAACGAACCAGGACCTACAACATGCACTGGGACGGTTTGCAGCCGAGTGTGAAGCGGCTGGGATGAGAATCAGCACCTCCAAATCTGAGGCCATGGTGCTCGACCGGAAAAAGGTTCCCTGCCCTCTTCAGGTGGGTGGAGAGGCCCTTCCTCAAGTGGAGGAGTTCAAGTATCTCGGGGTCTTGTTCACGAGTGAGGGAAGGATGGAGCGTGAGATTGACAGGCGGATCGGTGCAGCGTGCGCAGTGATGCGGTCGCTGTATCGGACCGTCGTGGTGAAGAGGGAGGGAACGAAGATTGACCGGTAAATTGAGAGCTTTGCCTTTCGGCTCAGCTCTCAATTTACCGGTCAATCTTCGTTCCCTCCCTCACCTATGGTCATGAGCTTTGGGTAATGACCGAAAGAACAAGATCGCGGATACAAGCGGTCGAAATGAGCTTCCTCCGCAGAGTGGCTGGGCGCTCCCTTAGAGATAGGGTGAGGAGCTCAGTCACACGGGAGGAGCTCGGAGTAGAGCCGCTGCTACTCCACGTCGAGAGGAACCAGTTGAGGTGGCTCGGGCATCTGTTCCGGATGCCTTCTGGACGCCTCCCTGGGGAGGTGTTCCGGGCACGTCCCACCGGGAGGAGGCCCCGCGGAAGACCCAGGACACGCTGGAGGGACTATGTCTCTCAGCTGGCCTGGGAACGCCTTGGAGTCCCCCCGGACGAGCTGGAGGAGGTGTGTGTGGATAGGGAAGTCTGGGCGTCTCTGCTTAGACTGCTGCCCCCGCGACCCGGCAACGGATGAAGCGGAAGAAAATGGATGGATGGATGGATGATTTTTTTACAATTTTGTTGTACGTATTGGTGCACACTGGGGTAGTCTTGCACAGTTTTTACAATGGGGGTTTACTGCACTCTGCAAATAAATTCTTGAATCTTGAATCTTGATATACTGTAGATTAATGTAACAAGCAATTCTGTCAACATCACCTCTACCCAGACAAAACAGCTGGCAGAGGATATTCTGTCTTTACATATAAGACTAGTGTGTTGATATTCATCTTGTGATGTTTGTTGATACGACCGCAGCTCAGAGGAATGTCGGCTGCTCCTTGACTTGTCCTTGTTTGGGGAAAGTGAAGGAGGGAAGTGAATTTCCCTCTGAGGATAGGACTGTCCTCAGAGTGTGAAACATTACAACATTGTATCATAAGACTGCATGAGCTAATAAGGGCTTGGTTTTCTGAAATGGGCAGCCGGATTCTCACTACTGCTGAGACTATAGTTGGCCCTTTCCTAATGATTTTCGTTTTATTGTTATTATTATTATTCTATTTCATAATAACGTTGTGTTGAATTTGCCTGTGTTTTGAACTACAAAGGGTCAAATAGTGACTCACAGGGCTCTTTCCTACAAGTGTGCAAAAGATGAAGACAGAATGTTGTGGCCTGATTTGTTCACATAATGAGACTCAGTAAATGAAGTCAAGAAATTGTATTTTTACTATAAGGAACTTGCAACTTCCTCTGCATTTAACCCTTCCTTCACTGCCACCAGGGCGTCTATCAGATCGCCACAGTGCAGCGCCCGGGAACCCATCTCCAGATGTCTTGGTTAGGACCAGAGCTGAAGGATTTTACCTATTGTACATGTTTATAGTGGTAGGGGAAACCGGCTCAGCA